TATACCAAGGGCTAAAATAGAAAGAAAATGTTTTGGAAATGATGATGACAACATATGTCCAAATATGCTTGATATAACTGATGCATAGCATATGAGAAGGGGGGGAAAAAGAGGAGCTTATACCAAGGGCTAAAATAGAAAGAAAATGTTTTGGAAATGATGATGACAACATATGTCCAAATATGCTTGATATAACTGATGCATAGCATATGATAAGAGCTGTAAGAGACCCCAACAAAGTGATTTTTTTAACCAAAAAGCACCATAATCCAAGGGCATAATTCTTCAGGCTTCCATGTTTCCTGTTCAGCCTTGAAACGTGTATGAAACACACTCACTGCCATTGGATAGATTCTGCCTCTAGAACTCGTGGGCTCCTGAGCTTATAAATCTTTCGGAGAGTAGGAAACGTCCGCTTCTGCTGAGGAATGGCTGGTCATTTCTAAACGCTCACCCACCGATTCTAGGGCTAGATTGGATAAATGCACTCTAGACTTCAATGTTTTTAACATTTAAAGGGATCGCTAGTGATCTGTCCAGTTCTTTTGATTTCTTGACTGCTGTTTCCATAGACATCGATTATGGATCCCAGTAAAATGAAATGACTCACAGTTTCATGGGTTGGTTCCATTTATCATGTTATCACACTTGGATCCAGCTGTGTAGATTTTTATTTTCTCTGTGTTAAGGAATAATTCATAGCAAGGGCTGTAATCGTTGACTCTGCTGTAAGTTCTACAAGTCCTCTTTGATTTTAGCAAACAAGATTGTATCAAATGCACGTTGCAGAGTATTAATGAGTATTCTTCCAATCCTAATGCTGAATTCTTCATGTGCTCTAGCTTGTCAGAATATTTGCTCAGCATACAGATTTAATAAATATGATGAAAGGATAAAAGCATAATGTACTTCTTTACTAATTCTAAACCATATAATATACATTTTTTCTGTTGAAACAATTGGCTCCTCGTATTTTCAGCATCTCCAAGAACACAATTAAGTGT